CATGAACTAATTGAGGCTTTGTTTGGAATAAATTTCTTATTGCTTTCGAAACCCGAGCTTCTTTTCTGCCACACGGGTCGGGTCGGGTCTACCCGGCAACCCGCCGGGTCGAGTCCGGGTTCGAATTTCTGACCCGTTTACCTACCCGGGTCGGGTCCGGGTTCAAATTTCTGACCCGTTTGAACCCGGGTCAGTTTCGGGTTCGACCCGAACCGACCCGTGACCCGAAATTAACACCACTAATTAAAAAGCTGTTTTAAAAAATCATAAAAAAGGTTGTCCCAAACGAAGCCTAAATCAACCCCTAATTTTGTTTGCTAATCCTTAGAAAGTAGGGCAAAGTATTGTTAATTTGTGATGATATTCATCTCAAAATAGCTATAGGAAAGAGCTTAGTTGCAAATTAAAGTTATAATGGAATGGTCTATTGGTCACAAATTAATTTTTGGATGGATAATTTGTGAGGAATCAGTTGCAAAGTTTCAAATAGAGTTATGGTGGATTAATTTGCAACATAGTTGCATAGCATTAAATAGTAATAATATTGACTAATTATAGGCTAGCAATAGAATTATGATAGATTATGACATAATTGTACTGTCAAATTTTGACGTTTAAGACAGCACTTATAAGCAGTGGTTTGAAAATCATTGTTAATTCTGATATTTAGTACCCATTTTTAAACGTAGTTGTTAAATAACAGTAGTTTTAATTGATGTAATTTGTAGTAGACTTAAACACTTAAAATGTTATTTATTTATTTAAGAGTTTAAATGAAATTTATTTTTATTAAAGAGAAAATACAATAAAGCATGAAAAATATTATGTCAAAATATTTTGATAAAAGTAAAACATCAACGAACACAAACAAGAAATAGAAAATTGCAGCGGAAATAAAGAATATCAGGGTTTAAGGTGTAAAAATCACGGAGCCACACCTCATCATGAATTTCACTATTAAATTTTGGGAGAAATAGTATAAATCTTTTTTCTCCCTCACTCTCTACTTATCTCTCTTCATCCTTGCATCATTCTCTCACTAGTAAAAACAAAGAAAAACTTACTAAAAAATCACCAAGGGGCACAACCCTTGATAAAAAACGAGAAAGAAAACTGTCCAACCCGTTTGAAGACATGGGACACTCCACTCTCTATCTCCAGTCTACTGAATAGTGTCAGGGTGTAGAGCAGTGCAACCCTCCCTGGGAGTCGAGGTTTGTAACGTTGCAGCACTCAGCTCTCTGTTTGCCTCCATGACAACTATACATTGTTGCAACGCTCCAGTGCCCAACGTCGCAGTGCTATCTAGTTGTATGAGGACAAAATTTTCATACCCAAACCTAAACAGGAGGAGGATCCCCTATAACTCTCCGGAAAGTTCGACTGATGGAATTAAAGCCCGAGACACCAGTATGAATGATCAACACAGTCAAATTTCATATAAAACTAACAAAATATGATCTATTTGAGTTTTGAAGTCATTAAATTATTTGAACACGAGCATAAATCACTAAATTATAATCAGAAATACCTGAGACCATTTTCTCCATAAATCACTAAGGCCGGCCGCTCATGTAGCAAAAATCATTTTTGCAATCTAAATTTTGTCTAATGTCTTATCATGATCAAATGTCAATACAAACTTCATTGCACTCTTGCCACTTTTGAACTTTTTAGAAATTCAAAATTGCTCGATCTTGCAATCACTTTTGTTTTTGTTTTTATTTTTATTTTTTATTTATATATTTAACATAAAGACATAAAGTTAAATATATCTGACTTAAGAAAATATATATTATTTTTTTTATTAAATATCAAAAAGTTGATTTAGATAGCAACAATAATGGTCGTCGGCAAAACAGCTACTATAGCTAACAAAGGGCCTGAAGTGACCTTGCAATGTTTTTTAGGATGACTTTCTTGCTGTTTTTTAAAACAACTTTTTAATACAAAATTTTCAAGCTCAAAAAATCTTTGTACTTAAAAGCTGTGTTTTAAAAACAATAAAAAAGTCATCTCAAATGAAGTCTTAGGTTTCATTTGGGACGGCTATTTTACTGCTTCTTAAAGCTTTTTTTTAGTAAAAAATTAAAGTTATTTTAAAAAATAGTTAAAAAAATCATCTCAAACGAAACCTTAGTTTTAAAATAGAAGCCTGTTTCCAATTAAATTTGTTGACCTTCCTATACATTCACAATTCAAGCCAATTGATGATGGTTGCTTTAAAAAATAGTACTCAAAGTAATTTTGAGTATTTTAAAAAACAATTTAATTTATTTAAAAATAAATAAATGTGAAAAACATGATAAACAAATCTTTTTTTTAAATCAAAACAAAAAATAAAAATTAAAAGTAATCCAAGCAGGCAATATTATTATCCAAATTTCAAGCAACCAAATGAGGCATCCAACGGTTAAATTTTTAAAACGTACTCTTTTGTTTTATATTTATAAAAATAGACCTTTTACAGAAATGAACAAAATAAATAAATTTCTGATACATCATCCGCCACGTTGTGCGGCTCTTCATAGCATGATAATTTTTCTAACAAGTGTACGAATCATTCTCGTCAAATGAATTTTTTTAAAAATATCCAATTAAATAGAAAATATTTTGAAATACAATCACCATATTATAAAATTTATCATCAAATTAAAAATATATTTTTATGTACTATATATAATTTTTTTCTTTAAATTTGAGTAATACTTTTATATCCATTGTTGTGAGGATAGAGATAAAAAAATACAAACACTAGAAATGTGTTAATTTGATTAATTTTTTTATTGAAGCATATCTTTATGTGGGTGCCTGAGTAATTTAGATGATAAATATCTTTAAAATTAATTTTAAATTTTGGTATTTGAATTCTACCAATATCAATTTTATATAGTTATACTTCTCCTCCCTTGCGCTTATGCTTCATTAATTAATTGAGCTCGAGTTCGAGCTTGCTCACGAACCAGCTCGCTTATTATGAAAGAGAGAAAATGATTATGATTTAAATAATTATTATAATATAATGTTAAAAAAAGAATGAAAACTATAGGAAAAATGGTAAAGAATCACTTAATGTGTAAAAGTGAGATATGAAAAATATTAAAACATTTTTAATAACTTTGTACTCGAGTCAAGGTTGGCTGAAACTTGACACATTCGCTCACCGAGCTCAGCTCACGGGCCATTTATCGAGTTTTCTCATTGGACGATTAAGTTAGCCTCTCAACTCTTCTATTTTATGGCTAAGGATTAAAATATTAGTAAAAAATTCAACTAAGATAAAAAAACTAGCTACAAGGGGGAGAAATCCAAATCCTATGGGCATCACAATCATAGAGAGATCATCAAAAGAATTTTGGATTCCTTATCTATATTTCGCTGACTTTCAACTTGTACAACTTGGACTAAAAAATAACATCATATAATAGAAGTTCCAGCTTTAAAAATTTGTCCCCTTTAGGCATACAATCGTGGAAGGATTATAGCTATATACTTTATATAATTTTTCCTGGCCACTGACATCCTTTGCCAGATTCATTGGAATCCCTCTGAAAATCCTTAAATTATTTCTATGAATCATTTACCGACAAACAGTGAAATTAACAAGAAGGAACTCCTCAGTCCTCACAACCATTCGGTCATATAGAGAACCAAAGCTCTTCCTACTGTTGCATAGAGGATGTGAAAGATTTTTTACACAGCAACACGATTCAGGAAACAATAACGCTAGCTAGCCAAATAGCCAATACAAGGACGACAAACCCAAAAGAATAAAGCTTCAAGGCACGTCGTCTTTAATCAAAAGAACAAAAGAAAAAACAAGTAGAGTCCTATTAGGACTCAAATTCCTCAATTTAAGCATGCTTACACAGTAGGAAAGGCCCGGAAGCAAGTTACCAACCTATCATTTCACATCAATCACTTAACTTTGAAAAAGAATAAGTGCTGGAATATGTGTGAAAATGTGTTGGAAAGGAAATAAAACAAGTTAATGGTGATGAAAAGTATATTATATGACAATGATTTTGGCCTTCCAAGGTATGTTTCACATGATACTCATGCATTATAACTGGTGTACACAGTATGATAAGAAGAAAAAAGTTAATGAAATTAGCCTCCCAAGCTCAGAATTCTCACGCTTGTCGGCAGAATCGTATAAAGAAAAGTGGGAGAAGGATAGTAGAATATGGCAAACTCTTCTGCACACATGCACAGATCATCCATAGCCGAAATAGCATCTTTTAAATTTCATTCGCTGTTAACTTTTATTTCAGTAAGTTTTATGTATCAGTATTGCTATATGAACATAGAATAATACAGATAAATTTAGACTGAATTAAGAGATTGCAATAAAATCCTTTATATTTAAACAAAAAGAACATAGAATTCGAACTGTATAAAAGGGAACAAAGTGCTATAAGGTCTTATGGAATTCCTGGTAGAAATTATATGATAGGAGTTCCTACAAACTGATATTGGGATTGATCTCGTTTTAAATCATGATCAAAAGCCAAGTTGCTCTACAAAAAAATTTCTATCATTAGGAGAATTCAACTTGTTCTGAAGAAATATTTAAACATGAATAAAAAATATTCACATATATATTTACCAGTTCATCTAAGAACAAGGCATGATCATGATCTTGTAAGGATAGAAATTTGAAAAGAGGAAAAAATTAAGAATGATTGCAATGATATTTCTATCATTGGGATCTTGAAAGGATAGTTAATGAGTTATGAGATGATTAGTTCTTATATTGATCAGTTAATTAGAATAGATAATTTGCGAGAAGCTAATTAGAAATGAATTGATAATTCTTTTACTAATGAATACTCCTATTAAAGACTAGCTATCTTTTTTTCTTTCTTTATTGTTATTCATTCAGTCTACATAAAGTTCCTTTTTAAATTTGTCTCTAATTAATAGGGATTACTGTTAGTAATTAAATCAGAACTAGAACACTAACTCAAGTTTGATTCTTAAAATTCTCAACAACAAAAAAACAAAAAAACATTTATAGATTTCAGCTTCCTCTACTGATGAATTGTCTCGAAAACTAGAAATTGATACAGATTTCTTAAGATAAGCAGGAGAATATATATACCTCAACTGTAGTAATAGAATCTAAACTTGCGAGTTATACATATAGCTCGCCCATTTATACGTTAGAACACACATGCATCATCTTCATGGCTGACTGCTTTTAACAAACGATGGCATGATATCTTGCAGAAGAGCTCCATAGTTAGATATCTGAAGCTGCTGTGAAGGAGCCGCTAGGTTCTGCAGAAAACCATATCCGGAGCTCGCCGACGGATTAGCCAACCCCAGTTGTGTGAGTTGCCGGCCGAACAATTCGGCTCTGAAGCTCGGCATCGCCATGGCAGAAGACTGGTTAGCGAGCAGGTGAGAGCTTCCTCGAACATTTGCAGGACAGTGATGAGTATGCTGACCTTCATAAGTCGTAATCACGATCGAAGGGTCTTGATGAGATCTCTCCACTCTCTTCTTCACCGTGCACTTCTGCGTTGTGCAGCGATAGTAGCTCCTGTAACATATTATTTAATATTTGATTTCTGTTATATATTATATGTGTATGATATGATTTGAAATATCTACCTTGGATAATTGCTGTTCTTGACGGCCTTTTGACCGTATTTCCTCCATCTGTACCCATCTTCAAGGTGATCGACTTCACTCTTTGTCATGAAAGCGAAGCGGGGTTCTCTTTGCCTCTTCTCTCCCTTCTTCTTTTGCTTGGTTCTGTGAGTTTGAAGAAATTAAAACAAAAATTTTCACTTAGATAAGAAAGAAGGAAATGATAATAGATCTAGCTTGCTACAGAGAAAAGGTTAGTTAATTAAGAGTTGAAGAATCCAGATCTTTGAAGTTGTTGAATCTATAATGCTAAATAAAGAAGTTCAACTTAATCAAAGAAGTAGATCTATATAGATCTTCTTTGTATATAGAGGAAACCCTAGCTTTAGAAAGGGTTCTAGATAGTTAGTTCGCTAGCCTATTCTTTTAGGAAAGGTAACAAACCTTAAAAAGTAGGAAGAGAAATTAAATTCAGCTATATCATTAAAAAAAAAAGGATTTTGCGAAAAGGATGATAAGGAAACCTACATATTCTTATCCTTTTCTCCACCATTTTCTTCTTCACCAGCTTCTTCATTCTTTTTCCTATCCTTTTCACAGGCGCCGTAGTCTTCTTCTCCGGCGACCTCAACCGAGGAAGAAGACGGCGAGGAGTTAGCCGTCACTGACATAACCCCCACGCCGGCCATAACAGAACTGTTCTCATTTGTACTAACGCCGGCTATCACTGCATCTTCACTTTCTTTACCGAGTGCTGGTACTCCGAAAGCTTCTTCCTTTGTTGAGAAAGACAAGTCGAAGGCTTTTGAAAGCATGCCATAGTCGGCAGAGCTCTGCAAGTATTCTGTGAAACCTCCATAAGGTAGCGGTGGAGCCTCAAAACCTTGAGGATCGCCGGAGCCTCCGCCAGAGTGCTGAGAGAAGAATGGGTAATTATGATCAAAAAAGCTTTCATAATGAAAGAATTCTTTATTATCACCAGACATGACGTTGGTTTGAAGAAGAAGAAGAAGAAGAAAGTTGGAAGAGAAATGAAGAGAGGAAAAAGAGAAAGAAAAAGGATAGGCTTGAAGAAGGAACTTAGAAGTCTAATGGCAGCCAGAAGGTGATTTTTTGGTCTATAGATTTGGTGGGTGGAAGGGCAGGCAAATACGAGGACTTTAGCGTATTCATTTATTATTTATTTTATTGATTTTTTATATTTTATACGTTGAGTTTTATTATTTCTGTATATAAAAATAAAAGGAAATACAATAAAAAAAAGAACATGAGAATGAACGGCCAGTAGTCTACCTAACGCTACAATAATTAGTTCCCACCAGTCCACGGTCGCATAAGCTGCTGGCAATGACAACGATTAAAAAATATATCAATCATCAACGTGATTTAATTTATATAACAACATCTTCATCAAATTTTTATCCCATTGGATAGCATTTTTTTTTCTCTATATAGTATGCCCTATCAATAATTAATAAAAAAAATCATTTCTAATACTTTATAACAAAGTTTTTGTAGATCTACTTCTAACTTTCTTAACATAGATCAAATCTAATGCATCTACTTTCTAACTGGATCATCAGAAAGTCGACATTTTATGTGACCAAACGTCTAATGTGACTCTCCCTAAAATATTTGTCACCGGAACTCTACCATCCTATGTATTTAAAATTAAAATAATCAATATAGCTCGCCCCGATCTATTGTTTGGAAGTTTTACATATCAACCAAAGTACCAAACGGTCTAAGAGGTGCAATCGAGTCAAGCCAACTCGGGAGCCGACTCAAGCTTGACTCATTAAAAAGCTCTAGCGTCGAATTTATCTAGCTATTGAGTTGAGCTCAAGTAGAATTTCAAGCTTTGTTGGATTTATCGAGCTCAAGTTCGAACAGACATCCACTCGACTTGATTACTTATCGAGCAGCTCGTAGAAAGCAGAATAACGTGGGGTGCGAGGCCAAACAATGAGGGCAAAATGCTGAATGGCGGAAACGAATTAGAGCTCGTGCAGCATGAGAACCGCGAAGGGGGCTAATCGAAGCTCGTGCGGCATGAAAACTACAGCTGGGGGAAAATCAAAGCTCATGTCATGGCGTGACTCATAATCCGAAGCCGGCGTACGTGTGTGAAGCATGTTCAAGGAAGAGGTGAGCGCATCTTAACCGTGTTCGCGACGGACGAGAGCGATTCGAGGAGCTCGATTTTTTGTGGCGAGTCGAACTGGACTAGAGTTCGAGCTTAGGATTTGACTCACGAGTCGAGCTCGAGTTAGGCTTGACTCATTTGCACTCCAAAGATATCTGAATTTATCTTAATTAACTCAATATAATGATGAGATAAATCCTTTAATATAATAATAACGTATTTAAAATAAAAAATAATAAAACTCATTATTAAGTTTTTTTTTCCATTGACTAAGGTGACTGGATATCGTCGGTCATGTAGAATAAGCGGCCAGGATATCAAAAGGCAAGTCTTTTCCTTTGCGATTCAGCCAACACGTGTCAAGTGGTATGCTCAACGAGCTCTATTTTGTGGCGAGTCGAGCTGAACTAGAGTTCAAGCTCAGGATTTGACTCACAAGTCGAGCTCGAGTTAGGCTTGACTCGTTTGCACTCCTAAGAGATCTGAATTTATCTTAATTAACTCAAAAATTTAAAAACTAATAATATAATGATGAGATAAATCCTTTAATTTAATAATAACGTATTTAAAATAAAAAATAATTAAACTCATTATTAAGGTTTTTCCCCATTGACTAAGGTGACTGGATATCGTCGGTCATGTAGAATAAGCGGCCAGGATATCAAAAGGCAAGTCTTTTACTTTGCGATTCAGCCAACACGTGTCAAGTGGTATGCACCGTCATTTGACCAGCCCACTACACGTGGAAAAATTACCATGTATACGACCAGTATTTAGCCCACGAGCCACATGGGGAAGAATCTCAGCGGCCGGCGATGTGACGTTTTCCGGTCATCGTAGCCGGAGCAATCATTCAGGGGCCGATGGACCGTGTGATGGCGATCAGACGGTGGGAAGATCGGGTGGACGGTGCCGCGCATTACGGCGGCGGCTTCTCGGCGTCGAATCTCTGTAGTGTGAACTGCCGAGTGGATTCAGCGGTGGAGACCGCGGAGGGTGGCGGGTCGCTGTAGCGAGGCTGTTTGAGGTTCGGCCGACCAATTTGCGTTTTATCGTGTGCGTTGTGCTGTGGCACAGTGCAGTAAGAGCGGGCCCCCCGTGAATTTGAACGCGTGACGTTGAAGGAGTCAAATCGTGTAAGGAATAACTTTTTTTTTTTTTTTTTTAAAATTTTTTTTTTTTTTTTTTTTTTTTTTGAGATGAAGATTTATTTCTATTCACTCAATATTCAAATTTAGGTTTAATAATTTATAAATCTTAAAAATTTGGCAAAAATATGAAAGCTTGGCTCATAATAGAGTCAACTTATTTAAATTTAAAAAAAAAAATTAAATTTAATATTCATTTAAAAACTAAAGAGAGATATGAATCCAAAATAGTTACCTAACTCCTAAAATAAATGATCAAAATAATCTTAAATTATTTTAAAATTTCATTTCTTACTTTTTAAATTAGAATTTAGGTTTCGTTTGAGACGGTATTTTTACTGCTTCTTAAAGCAGCTTTTTAGTAGAAAAATTTTAAACTGTTTTTAGAAGCGGGAAAAAACTGCCCTAAATGAAGTTTTAAATGATGTCGTAAAAATATTAAGCTTTCATTTGGGACGGCTTTCTTATTGCTTTCTAAAGCAACTTTATCTTACCAAAATTTCTTCAAAATAGTAAAAAGTAGTGGCATAAAACTGTCCCAAATGAAGCCTAAGATTTTGTTTGAGACAGCTTTTTTACTGTTTCGCTTTTCATAACAAAACCACATTATCTATTTGGCCACTACTTTTATAAAATTTTTATGCTCAGAAGTTTATTTCTACAACATCTTTCAAAATAGTTTCTACTGCATAGCAGCTTTTCAATCACCTTTATAAAAATCTATAATCGTCCCAAAATAAACACTAAGTTGGTCCCTATTTAAAATGTCAATAGATCATTTGGTTCAACTTTATTTTAACGATATTCGAAAATTCAAGTGAATAATATTCTCAATTAAAATATCCATTATTGTTTGCCTAAAACTATTGATAATACATTATTTGAAATTATTAAATCATGTGAAATAAAACTAAGTTGATTGAAATGCTAAAACTCTTGTCATGCAAACAGGCAATAATTCTTTGTCTAACATTCTAAGCTAATGAATTAATAAGCTTTATTCTTGAAATGATACTCTTGTAATTTAGTAGCAATCACAAAGGTAATTTTGTAATTTCACAAAAATGTTCTCTTTGACTTGTTCTACTTCTACCCCGCCTTATTAGGCCAAATTATGCTTTTGTTTATAGTTTGAATAAAAACGTACATGATTTTTTTTATGATAATATTTTGATAAAAATTTAATTAGAATGATTTTTGAAATTTTTATTAGTTTTCATATATATATATATATATCACTTATCTCATAAAAATCATATTTTTTTAATCTTATTTACTTTATTTTCTTTTATCATTATTGATTGCTTTGCTTATTCATTATTACATATCCCTTAGTGGCTATGATTGGCTTGTCTTCATTCTTGCTCATTCAATTCACTACATTCACTACAGGAAAATCACTTTTTTTTTAACAAAAACAGAAATATATTAATAATCCCAAAAAACCGAATACATCAACAAACAAAAAGAAAAAGCCAAAAAAAAAAGGCAAAAAACCTCTAAAAGCTAAAAAATAACCATGAGAAAAGCTAAAAACTCCCCAAAACAATCGGGGACTCAGCAGACGACCGAGGCTACCAGCATCCTCGAGACCGCACAAGGACCATCCAGTAGAGGTTGCCACAAGGAGGCGACGAGGACACGAGCTCCAACCACATCATTGCCCTGCAACCAACAAACGAAACGAAAATCAAATCGATCCAACGACAAGACCGAATTTTTTTACCGCCTCTACCCCAAAATGTTCCACGAGAAGAACCAGAAATTGGTCTATCACGAACCATTGTATACTCATTTCCAGGATCTGAATAGGAATGAGAATCAGAATCACATTCCGACGAATTATGCAACCAATCATCATGTGATCTAACATCCACACCAGCTTTACCACCCACCTGCAGCTTTAATGAATTGGTAGCGATTACATTAACAGGAACATCAACCAAATTTTGAGAAACAACCAAATTGCCTTGAACATCCGCAATATCAACCCGATTACCATCCGGCATCGCAGCAAGCAAAGAGTTCCGACTCGGTTCAACCTGCTCAACACTCACAGGGCAAACAGTTTCCATCGAAGCAACAGGCTGCACCGCCTCATCACCCAGCAACTGATTAGAAACCATCGGCTTCACCAAACACCCAGCATCCACAGAAATATTCACAAAAGGGTTAACAACAGCAATTTCTTCCGAAATAGAATCAGTTAACAAAGAAATTCCCAACGACCCCTCCAGATTAGCAACCAAAGCAGGGGGAAAGAAAGGCAAAGCATTAGGGGATAAATCTTTAGAAACAATTTCAGAATCAACAATGCCAGCATTAGGAATGTCCGTATCTTCTCTAGCTAAATCAACATTCACCAAAGTAGGCACAATCACAGCATCTTTATTTCCATCCAACGGATCCACAATAACCGGTAAAACAATTTTAGCATTAGTCGCTACAGTTTTAGGTAAAACAGAAGCATCTAAAACAACAGCTTTAGTCCTACATTCACCCACAGCATGACCGAAACTCACTTATTGTTAGAAAAAATTGACCATTTCATGGTGCTTTTCCGCCTATAAAATCCGCTCAGGAAAAAAATATTTCATGCGGTATTTTTCGGCAGCAAATATTTTTGGCGGGAAAAGGCCGTCATAAAATAAAAAATTTTAATTAAAAAATGAATCTGCCTACCCAACCTGCTTGTGCACTACGTTGCATGCCCGCCTGTGTAGCCTGCCCAGGATTCGAACTGAGTCTAAAATTTATTCTGAAATTCCAACCATTTTGTTGGAAGGTCAAATGCATTAAAATGCTTATTATTATTTATTTAAACTATAATTTTATGAAAAATATAATTAAAAATTAATTAATATAATATATTAAAGTTAACAATTAGATAGACTAAGTTAATAAATTAATAATTAATTAAAATAAACTATAAATTATTATTTGATTAAATTATCAATATCTGATTTTTCAGAAATTATTTAAAGCCGCCGGAAATTCTTCTGAAAAATTAGGCCGCCGGAATACCGTCGCAAAATAGTCCGTCAGAAAAATCCTCCAATAAAAGACGATTTTCCTGTTGTGATTCTTTTTTCTATATTTTGATCTTTTTTCTAGCTATTAGTTCATTGTATTCTACTTAATGTTGTCTATTATCAAACTGTGTTCCATTTTTTGTTTCTACCAAATAAGATGGCATTCTCTCATTAATCCTTAACTTATTTTTTCTTATATATCAAACTAACTCCATGTTTGATTTTCTTACACATCTCATAATGACATATTAAGGCTTCATTTGGAACAACTTTCTTACTGTTTTCTAAACCAGCTTTCTTGTACAAAAATTTTAGCTCAAAAATTTTTTGTTCAAAAAAACTGCTTTAGAAAGCTGGCCCAAACAAAGCCTAAGTGATCGGCATATCATCTATTATACCTTTCAATCCAATTAGAACATTTAGATGATTGATCAAAGCAAGAAATATACATTTTCAACAACATTAATGTTACTATATTTTACACAAAAAAGCCTATTTCTTTTCTATTTTTACTTTATAGCCCTACTTAGTGTAGCACTATCCATTAATTTTAGAGCAATTTTGAGCTTAATCCTAGGAGACAAATATCACCTTAAGATGCAAAACTCTTCTTTATAATCTTTTTTTCATTAAAAAAAAATTGCATCAATAAAACCTGAAAAAATAAAATCCTATTTCAAATAACATTCATAATACAAAAAAAAAATCACATAATTTTTAAAAGATTTACTGATTTACATACATATCACAAAATTTTCATATATTTATGTATACAATATCTAAAATCTTATATTTATTTAAATGCCATTTTATATTTTTAAATAAATTAATATTAATTATATTTTTTATATGTTTCAAATATTGTGCATTATATAAATCAATAATTTTAAATATTATATATACATTTATAAAATTTTTGTGACATTTATGTAAAAGCCCCTAATTTTTATATACAACAAACCATACTATCAAACCAACTCAATTACCAAGGCATGAATTGCCACTTCAGAATGTGAAGACTGAAGTAATCTTATCTTCTATTGGAGCTACTCCAACCTTTTCACGTATATTCTCATTTCGTATCCTATCTCTAAGGGTAAAGCCACTCATCCACCTGAGCATCCTCATCTCTGCCACACTTAGTATTATGCTTCTCTTTTAAAGGCCAACATTCGGCACCATAAAGCATTGCAGGTCTCACCACCATCTTATAGGATTTTCTCTTAAGTTTGAGGGGGACTTTTCTATCGCACAATAAGCCCGATGCATTCCTCCATTTCAACCATCCAACTTGAATTCTATTGATAATATCCCCATCAATTTCACCATCACTCTGAACAATAAATCCAAGATATCTAAAACATGTACTCTTATTAATGACTTGATCACCCAAAGTCACAATCCCCTCACTAGGTCTATTTCCACTAAAATTACACTCCATATATTCAGTTTTAGATCTACTCAAGCGAAAACCTTTAAACTCTAAAGTTGACCTCCATAATTCAAGTTTACCTTCAACTCCCTCTCTAGTCTTATCAACAAGAAGAATATCATCAGCAAAAAACATGCACTAAGGTACATCCTCTTGCAAATATCTAGTGAGGATGTCCATGACTAAAGCAAAAAGATATGGACTTAAGGCTGATCCTTGATGTAATCCAACTGAATAGGAAAATACTTGGTCAAACCACCTTGTGTTTGAACACAAGTAATAGCTCCTGCATACATATCTTTAATTATTTGAATATAAGCATTATTAACTCCTTTTAAAATAGCTTTAAAGTATAAAAATTAAAAATTTTTAATTAGAAAGATGCTTTAAGAAGCAGTAAGAAAACAGTCCCAAACGAAACCTAAGTATATGAGCTTTGTTTGGGGCAACTTTCTTACTGCTTCTTAAAATAACTTTAAGTAAAAAAATTAAAATTTTTGTATTAAAAAACTATTTTAAGAAACAGTAAGAAAGCCGTCCCAAACAAAGTCATAGTCATAATATAACTTATAACAATGCAGCAAACAATACCTTCATGATTGGCTATAATAATAATAATATGTACATCAATATACATTTAGAGCATGCATGAATTTTAAATCCTTAGAAAATACAACCTCCATAGACATCTACTGTAAAAACCAACTCACAAGTACTATGAGAAAATCAACCAACCAATCAATTACCTGTACTCGATCTTCTCATTATGGACTTTTGAATCCAACCTTACAGCTGAAATATTCCAAATAAGATTTCACATACAATAAGGGAAGTAGTCTCCTCCTAGAAGTTTGGTGAGAACAAGCCAAAGCAGCACCCTAAGAATAAACCAGCACCTGCAAGGCCTAATCCAACAGCAAACAGTAAAGCATATTTACATAATCTGCATTTCTTCTGCTTCTTTCCTCTTCTTCTTGCATCACATCTGTCTTTAGTAACTGGCTTGTTCCTTAATGGCATCCATGGAAGGATGGGAAGGACAGAAGTTATCTGATGGTCTTTGATTCTCAGCTGGAGGAAGAGGCTCTCTAACTGTAACATTTGAATCCATTGCTTGTATGCAAAGAGATGTGATGCTTGTTTGAGGAAGAGCTTCACAATGTGCTCTTTCTCATCATAAGCTTTTTGTGCAGCTAGTTCGGCTTTCCGCGCTCGAGTTTGCGAAAGACAGAGGGCTTCCAGCAGCTTAGCCCTGCTTGGATCACTCCCTGAGTCTAGCTTGCTTTCTGATGCAATGGCAGCTGCAATATTGGAACTCCTGGCTTCCCTGCACATGATTTAGTTGTAAGAATGATTAATGGGAAGAGAATGAGCAATGGAAGCTAGGAAAATTTGCCAAGGATATAAGAATTGGAAGAAAATTATGTAAGAGAACCGACTGTTGTTCTTTTTTTATAATAGAAACAAACAACTTCATTGAAGATATTCAACACAATTATAGATTTCACTTCATAGCATATTTTGGACCGTTTATAAAAGAACAAAATAATCCAGATGGAGACGATCACAGAAACTAATTACTAAACTGAGTCAAAAGATTGAAAAGTTCCATTCTAGTATACAAGTAGTTAATATAAATAGTCTATATTTAACTTGCAAGATTGAAATCTAATTTAAGAACATCATACTACACACATATTTATTGTGATTTAGCTTCAAACAAAACAATTACTTTATTTTGTCGATTATGTATGTTATTTTATCAAACAGTAAGAAACAGAAAGTTTCCATGATGTGCTTAATTTTTAAATGATAGTGGGTCATGGTAGATCTTAGGATCTAATGCGGCGGAGTGAACTCTTCTATCATGTTCATGTTACATTTTCTTTGGCAGCCTAGCAGCACCCCCTCGATTCTTCGTACTAGAGCAATCTGAGAAGAACTATTCAGATCATATTTGATCGTTTCTACGATGACCATAGATGAAGCACTCCATTTTAGGTCATTTTTTCATAGCAATTCCTTCGGTTTAATTTTCTACCTATACAAAATCCTTCTAGAGATCAAGGATCATTAACTTTAAGGTTTTGTTTGGGACGGCTATCTTACTGCTATCTGAAACAATTTTTTTGTACAAAATATTTTAGTTTAAGAAATTTTTGTATTAAAAGGTTACTTTATAAAACAGTAAGAAGTCGTCATTTGAAAAAGTAAGAAATCGTCCCAAATGAAGCCTAAATCTCCTTGGCATGAATTAAATATACAATTCCATAATAAATACTATGATCTGTATTTTAAATATCCAAATAGAAATCTCAAAACGTATTTCCACAAGCAATCATATCCAGAAGTCCAAAATAAACTGCTGAAACCTAAGAAATTGTAATGAAATATTTGAATTTTCACAATTACATCCTTCAAATTAAATGTCCTCAAGCTATTTTGTCAAAATATTAATATTTTTTATCAAAACATTTTCATTCTTATTTTTAGATTATGTTACCATCAATATAATTTAAATTACATTTATTTTACCATTCGTCAAATTTTTTTTTCTTTCAAGTCCCTAAATTTTAGAATCGAGCAAAGCAACCTATTTAATAACATTTTTTTTTCCATTCTATGACTCAAGATCTGTTTGAGATTTTTTTCTATTCAATGCTAAAACCCAAATTGAATGTTTCTCAAAATCAAATTGGATTCATGTCAGGAAGGGTCTACGATAGAAGCCATACATTTATTGAGATGTTTGATGGAGAAATATAGAGAGAATAAGAAGGATCTATATATGATATTTATTGATTTATAGAAATCATATGATAAAGTTCCAAGAAAAGTGCTATGGAGAGTTCTTAAAAAGAAATGAGTTAATAACGCTTATATTCAAATCATTAAAGATATATATGCAGGAGCAATTACTTGTGTTCAAACACAAGGTGGTTTGACCAAGTATTTTCCTATTTTCGTTGGATTATATCAAGGATCAGCCTTAAGCCCATATTTTTTTTGCTTTAGTCATGGATGTTCTCACTAGACATTTGCAAGAGGATTTATCTTGGTGTATGCTTTTTGCTGATGATATTCTTTTTGTTGATAAGACTAGAAAGGGAGTTGAAGGTAAACTTGAATTATGGAGGTCAACCTTAGTGTCTAAAGGCTTTCGCTTAAATAGATCTAAAACTAAATATATGTAGTGTAATTTTAATAGTAATAGACCTAGTGAAAGGATTGTAACTTTGGGCGATCAAGCCTTTAATAAGAATACACGTTTTAGATATCTTGGATCTATAGTTCAGAGTGATGGTGAAATAGATGGGGATATTATCAACAGAAATCAAGTTGAATGTTTGACGTAGAGGAATGTATCAGGCTTGTTGTGTGATAGAAAAGTCTCCCTCAAACTTAAGGAAAAATTCTATAAGATGGTAGTGAGACCTGCAATGCTATATGGTGTTGAATGTTGGTCATTAAAAGAAAAGCATAATACTAAGTTAAGTGTTGCAGAGATGAGGATGCTCAGGTGGATGAGTGGCTTTACCCTTAGAAATATGACACAAAATGAGCATATACGTGAAAAGGTTGGAGTAGCGCCAGTGGAAGATAAGATTAGATAGAGACTTAGAATGTTTGGTCACATAAAATGGCGGCCTTCAGGTGACCCGGTTAGGAAAGTAGAGATATTAGATTTGACTTATGTTAAGAAAGGTAGAGGTAGACCTAAAAAGACTTGGTTAGAAAATATTAGAAATTATCTTTCTTTATTAGATTTAAATGAGAATTTGACTTTTAATAAGATACAATGGAGAAAAAGGATTCATGTAGCCGTCCCCACATAGTGGGACAAAGGCTTGATGTTGTTGTTGTTGCATTTCTAAAACCCAATATAAGCTCAGACGAAAGCATATTAGGACTCTTTCTTCTTGCATTGAACTATATTATTTGTTAAACAAAGAATAATTTGTAGGACCTTTTGGGTATGCAGATTATAACTATTGCACTAAAAGAGAAGAAAGCAATCCAATCATTATGCGAAAGTGTAATATGAGCATGAAAAGAGAACAACGCTACTTTCCAAAGAAGGAAGGAGAAGCCATGTGTATAAGATAGCATAGGAACATCCTAAATAAGGACACATCCTGTCAATCGACCAATTCATGTTTCGCCTATTAGATGCAGCAACAACAACAATAACAACTTCAAGTCTTTATCCCACTACGTGGGGTCGGCTATATGAATCATTTTTCTCTATTGTATCCTGTAAAGAATCAAAATTTCATTTAAATTTAATTTAAAAAAAAAATCATTTTAATATTTTCTAGTCAAGTCTTTTTAAGTCCACCTTTACCTTTCTTAACAGAAAGCCAAATACAATACATCGATCTACTCTCCTAACCGGGTCATCGGAAGGCCGATATTTTATGAAGAAAATTAATGCCTCTTTAATGGACTTAATAAAAGATTCTAGATGAGTATGGGAGTAAAACATGGGACACATGAACTCAAGGAATAGATTTGTTAGATGAATGATTGCTAATGATGATAACTTAAAAGGAAGTAAAATATGTATGCAAACCATCATGAACATTACATTGTTAACTTCAAAAGCCACAGATTGAACCTGCTCAGCATATAAGTCAAATTTATTTTGAAAACAAAAATAACGTAGACAAATATGTCAAGGAAAAAGAAATTATAATTTCTGCATGTGCCAACTAAAAATAAGATGGCTAATTCATGCTGGGAACTTCAGCACCGCATGTCATTTACGAATAGAGAAGTGCTTGGTACACTTGAAACACTTCAGGGACAAACTTTCAAATATAAAAAGAACTAGGCTTCTAATTGCTGTTTATCAATAAAGTGGTCCATATATTTTTTTAATACCTATGGAGTAAATACATTGTTGTTAACGAGACAAAATTAGAACTACAATGTATGGTAGGTCAAATAAAAAACAGTAAGATTTTCCATAACTGCAACATATTAACAAAGATTGGAATGTTTAAATTTTAATAACTTAATAACTTAATCAACGTTACTACTGAAAGCTTAAATGATAAAATTGCATTTATGCATTTACAAGAATATACAAGTATGATGAAGCCAATTTGAAAAATATATACATGTTCACATTCCGAGAGCCTGTGTGATTTTTGCACAAGTATGCTTGTAAACATGATAGGCTCTATAATGGAGATATCCATATAAATCAACCTCAATAATGATAGGAAAGAAATGCCATAACCACAATTATGGAAATGAGTGTCCAACAAAATTACTTCTATTACAATGAAACAAAGTAAAATAAATACCTGTCCCATTTTTCACTTGCAACAGGTCGATGTGGTTGATTTGAGTGTAAATAATTTCCATCCATGTCCATAACTGCAGAACTTTGCTCAGGATAATCAACTGGTAAGCACATGCCAGCATTTAAATTGCAACCAAGCGATTTAGACAAAATTTTGTTACCCTCCCAACTCTCAAGACAAGCAAATGGATTCCTACATATATGGGCAGGTCTGGGGAGATCACAATTCTCAATATTCTCTAGTGACTTCTGTGCGACAAAGGAAGCCAATTCTTCTTTATCTGAAACACGCCACCAGGGTTCACACTTATTACTTCTTTCCCATGGTGTTCCCAAGTCCAAATTAGCCATCTCTGTCTTTTTGGATGATAAGTGATCAATTGGTTTCATGTCTAAAAGCTCTTTCTGGAAATAACAGTCCCTGGTGTCCACCGTATGCTTAAGTGTCTTCTGTGAGAAAGTACTATTTAATTCCTTTATCTCCTGAATCCTACTTTCAGAATCATGGTTCACTGAAATTGCTGACACCACACAGGAAGACTCCATAGGACTATCCTTATTCCCACCATCTATGTATCCATCATGCTTTTCCTCATCAGTAAAAGAAGCTTGGTTTACTGTTTCTTCTGCCTCTAAATGCTCATCTGATAAGCCTTTCAGTTGTTCATACATGAAATCCTTCTTGTAACCAAAGTTAGGCTGCATTTGAAGCCACCATTTTGTGTCAGATGGAAGATTAGAATTCATGAAGTTCCAACTTAAGGGCATAAAGCTGGATGCACATTGATCCTGTCCATTCGTTGCATCCGTATTGTTCGAGTCGTTCTGCGGAACAGACGATGATGGGCAGCAGGCTAATTTTGGAGCTCTTTTAGCATCTTCTTGTACTAAGCAACGATTTGCAGCTCGCTGCCAAGCAGTCCTAGCTTCCGCCGCTGCCATTATATCCTCATTCTCCAAAATCATTCATGAAATAATGTTCATCTATCCCAAACAAATAAAATATATTAAGCAAGCTTTATTCACTTGACAAAAAAACAGCCATAGATTTCAAAGAAAAGTGGCATTTTAACTTTCTAACAAGTTTGCATTACAGCTAAAGGCTCTCTAAACAGCAAAAAGGAACAGTGCTCCTGAAAGCTAATTTAGCAAAAAAGTATTTCTAACAAGTGTGCATTACAACTAAACGCTCTCTAAACAGAAACTCTCTCTTCTGAGGATATTTTGTTCAAGATACAGGAAAATAGGAGCTAATAGATGGATTCATAAATCAGGAAAGAATGGTGATTAAAAAATATTAGGAAGGGAGTGCTCAGTCATATGTGACATATCTTGAGTTAAAACACAAATTTAGGCCCTAGTCTAAGAATTGACACTGTATGTCTTGTCATTATCCCTTTCCTACCAAGTAAGACAGAAATGGCTGATCTTCCTCATTAAAGAACTTATTACCAGTTGCTTAATTTGAAAAGTAGATACTGTTCGATACGATTTCCAGAGTTTCCTAACAGGAAAAGAAATAATATCTTAGATAAGTATCATTTATACATCAAAATCCATGGTCAACTCTCCTCATATGGCCAACCTGCGTGAATGTGCTCACATGATCAAACCTGGAGCAAATGTAAGCATCCGATAATATTGGCCCTTTTGGGTCTGATTGCCTCAATCAGCTCTCTGTATATCACATGACTTTTTTAGTCATTCTACACAACAGGCATTCAATGAAGGTGTCAACAACCAGTACCACAATGGCCTGCATATACTTCATTTATATATTATAAATTGAATATTTCTTACCGTGTCTTTAATATTTAATTTTTTAAGCATCTAAAGATCACGTGTAATTAAACTAATAAAAAATTTTTAGACTATAAATAATCACATTGGTTAAATTAAAATAGCTAAACAAATATAATAAGGCATATTTACATTTTAATTTAATAAGGACAACACCATTGAAAATATTTCTGAAAATACAATAACTAAATATTAAAATGGATAAATTTTAACTTTGAATCGATTAGCAACTATTGCATTTCAAAGTTACCCAATCTTCGACTGAGTAGCATATTCAACCTTCATTGAAGCTGTGATTGAGTGGTACAACAACCAATGTAAAATTCGAACTGAGGTTGCAATTCATGTCAATCAGCTTCACTCAGAAACTTCACCTTACCTATTCTTGACAATGGAGCACTAAGTTTTTTGTAGACATCTAATATAAAATCATCTTCCGTTGAGTCTCAATTATCATAAAGTATAACATCATCTACCTTAACCTTCGTACTTGAAGATTTAACTTTTCAAGGAGAAGCTCATGGTACCTCATTCGGAGGACTTGATGACCAACAAGATGAAGGCCCAACTCCATAAATTTTTCTTCAATAAGTTTCCAATTATTGCTAGTTAGAAACTCTCTCGCCTCATCACTGTGTGATGTCATAGCCTCTCCATGCAATCTCCATAGTAGTAACTCATCTCGCTTTGACGTCTACTGATGCATACAACAATGATATACCTCATTCAACTTCACCTTTAACTCTAGAGTGTTAGTAAAGCATTCCACACTCTTCTTCAGGAGTAGGCTCCCTAAATCTATGAAAAGTTTTACCGATACGATATCAAATAAGACCTTTCACTATCACTATCTATATATATGACAAAAAGTTAAATGATGGTCAATTTAATGAGAACGGGCAATTTACCAATGAGTTAAGGAGCTACACCTACATGTGGTGCAACTTCTCTACGCAGCCACAGACCTTATAATAGCACCACCCGTTTATTATTGCTAATGTCACAATAAATAACTATTGCGCCCAACCATTAAAAAAGCAGACGAGGCATCCGCATTGAGTCGCGCCTCAAGTCGAGGCGGAAGTCATGCGTATCGGGGCTTACGCCTCGAACCATCCAGCCTATGATTTTTTCGCATGAGGCGTACGCAATAGAGCGTAAAGCCTCGAGGCAGTATGAGGCACCACTTCGAAATTTTTTCTTCAGTATATATGTAAATACGACGCAGCCGATTCGTGTTCGTTTATTTGTGTATAGGATTAGGGCTTCCTGTGAGAATTGAACGGCGAACTAGAGGCGAAGCCGTGAGGGAAAGAGACGAAGCTGTGAGGGAAAGAGACGAAGCCATGAGTGTAGGAGACGAAGTCGGAAGGAGACGACGCAGGGAAAGAAACGAAGCCGAAGCTGTGAGTGCAGGAAATGTTTAGGCATCGGTTAGGTCGGAAGAGCAGGTACGCGGTGTTGTGGCCTTAACTTTGACGTACAGTAACGAAAGCTTGAAAGGTATAGATTTGTATATATAGATTTTCTTTCATTTTATAGAATTGAGCATTTCATACATTAAAATGCATTTTATGAAAGCAAGGTGTTGACCTTGATTTTGTCAAATCACTAGGTCTGGAGAGTTTGACTTGGTCAATTTGACCAAGCCAAGACCCAAGACCTCTCCCACTCTGTTCCTTGGGTCAAATTGAGTCTACTGAGCCCAGACCCAGGCCCTGGGTCGACCTGGTTGACCAGGTCAACCAGGGTTGACCCAAATTGCCCCCTTTAGCCTATTTGAGCCCAATTGGATTTCAAATCAATTTCATACCCTTTTCTTGGACTCAAACCCCCACCCCATTGGGCTTAATTGACTAGGTTGACCAAGTCAACATTTGACTTGGTCAACCCAAGTCTTAATAGGTTAATTCGACCTATTTAAGCACAATTAGAGCCCATTCAATGCATTTAAAGCCCTATTAATGGTCTCTAATTCAAAAACCACGGCCAAAGCTTTGGTTTCCCTCCTAATACGCTTTGGATGCAATCTTGGCCGTTGATTTCAAGACCTAGCCTTTAAATACCCTTTTTAGGGTTCCAAAAAGAGGACTTTTTGCTCTTGCTTTCTTCCTAGACCTCCTTAGGCTCTGAAATTTTGTGTGAGCACCCCCACGACCTCCCTCCACCTTTTACAAGAAAATCCCGCCGCCAAGACCTCGCCAGCGGCGATCTTCAATCCAACCGAAGCCAAAAATGTCCCTAGACGATTTCAGATTGATCCAAGGCATTTCAAAGCTCGTGTTCAACTAGGAAATTGTGTGTGGACAATCTACAAGTGCAACAAGCCTAAGAACGTGAAAATCCAACAGATAGATCTCTCAAAAACCTTAGAATTGGTCACTACACATAGGGTAAAATAGCTTTCTAAAAAGTTGCTTTTAAGCCAAACAAATACCACCACATGAATGCTCTTCATGTATAGAGCCTATGTTTAAAATTTCATTAGATTTGGTTGAGTAGATAGAGATAAATCACCAAAATACCATTCTAGGGTTTCAGTTTGGCTGAGGTTTCACAAGCTGCATTCTGGACCGTCGATCTTGTGATCAACGACCCAAATTTGGCCTAACAGCGGATTCGTCCAACTACTGTGTAGATCCCGCGGATCTGTGCATCGTCCAACTTCATCACGACCGTCCGTTCAAAACAGCGCAAATCGGACGGCCAAAAAACCACGCTGACGTGGTTTAGTGAAATCGCAATGATTGCCTCAATCACTGGCAATCATTGCCTAGCGGCGTGTGGATTTTAAAATGTTTAAGACCAAGTGGAGTGAGATTGTCAAAGATCCTCAGATTTTTCTTTTGTAGCATGAGCTATGTATAGATTATTGATTTTACTGATCTTCTAACTATTGTATATGATTTTGGGAGAATGAATATAGTGAAATATTATGATTTATATAATTTTAGATGCTTCCACTAGAGTAATTTATATTGATGAATTCATAGAAGCTCTTGTTGACTATTAAAGCCATTAAAAATATTGCAATTCTTCCAAATTTGATCTTGTAGCATCACAACATGACAGTTTTTGTCTCGATTTATAAAAGAGGGCACCACAACAAAATGGCATCCTGTAAGGAATCCAATGTTCTTTCAATTATAAAACGTTATCTTTACCAATATTTATATGTTAAAATAATTTTAAAAATATATTGATTTGATATAACCAACTATAAATACAACAACATCATCATCATCAAGTCTTTATCCCACTATGTGTAGTTGGCTACATGAATCCTTTTTCTTTCAATTGTAATAATATATCTACTCTCCTAACTTAGTCATCAGAAGACCAACGATTTATTTGACCAAACCATCTAAGGTGACTCTCTCTAATCTTATCTGTCACTGGAGCTACTCTAATCCTTTCACATATATACTCCTTTCGCATTTTGTCTCCAAGAGTAAAGCCACATCCACCTAGCATCCTCATCTATGAAACACAACTATTATGCTTCTCTTTTAATGGTCCATATTCTACCCATAAAGCATTGCAGGTCTAACCATTATCTCATAGAATTTGAATTCGATGCATACCTCCACTTCAACCATCAAATTTGAATTCTACAAATAATATCCCCATCTATTTCACCATAAATTTGAACAATAGACCCAAGATATCTAAAATGTGTACTATTTTTAATGAATTGATCGTCCAAAGTTACAATCCCCACATAAGATCTATTAATATTAAAATTATACTCCATGTATACAGTTATAGATATTATCAAACGAAAATCTTTACACTATAAGGTTGACCTTTATGATTCATGTTTTCCTTCAACTCCCTCTCTAGTCTTATCAATAAGAAGAATATCATTAGCAAAAATCATACACTAGGGTACATCCTCTTACAAATGTCTAGTAAAGCATCAATGAATAAAGCAAAAAGATATGAGCTTAAAGCTGATCTTTGATGTAATCCAACTGAAATAGGAAAATACTTGGTCAAACCACCTTGTGTCTGAACATAAGTAACAGCTCCTGCATACATATCCTTAATGACTTGAATATAAGAATTATTAACTTTTTTTTCTACAACTCTCCAAAGCACTTCTCTTGTAACTTTATCATATGCTTTCTCTAAATCAATAAATAATATATATAGATCCCTACTTATTCTCTCTATACTTCTCCATCAAACCTCTCAATAAATGTATAGCTTCTATAGTAGACCTACCTAGCATAAATCCGAGTTAATTTTGAGAAACATTAGTATTTCGTCGTCATTGATGCTCAATTACTCTGTCTCATAAATTAATGTATGACATTAATTTAATTCATCTATAATTTATATGCTCTTATGAATCACTTTTATTCCAAAAAATAAGAACAAACACACTCCTTCACTCATCTAGCATCTTTTTTGTCTTTAAAATAATATTAAAAAGTTTAGTAAAACAAAAAAAATCCCGGCCTTAATTTTGCCATAATTTTTTTCCCCAATAGGTAGGAACTAGCGCTTTGATGCCAAATTATGATCCGAAATTGAGTGTATGGAAAACTTCTAAAATCAATAGGAATTTTAAATACGACAAAAAAATATGTTTCCTATGTATTACTTGAAAGAATAAAAGTTTTATCTATTGATTTTTACTTCAAAAAAACAACAAGCATGATGTTGTCCCTACCTTAGATTTGTTGAAGGTAGCAATCATCATATGTTGTCACTGGATTTCACATCTAAATTTGTTGACTACAACAAAATCCAGCAAAGGATGTTTTCTATCCAGCATCCATAATAGGCTAAAATAGCAAATTTGGACTTCATTGTTGTTGAAAACTGCAGGAGTAAACAAGAGTACAACTAACTAGCCGCTATAGAAGCTTTCGCATGCCATGAGGCTACAACAGAGGCAGGAGAAAGCAATGCCCAACATTGGATAAGGAGGCAGCTTTTTTGATGCCCTAGATTAGGCAGATAGCTAGGCGGAAAAGAAGAGAGAAAGAGAAGGATTAGCAGAAATATCTGATATCTTTCATTGCAGGATTCATCTCCACCTATTGACTCCTAATGACTCGAACTTTACTTTCAATGGTATGATTTTATAACATGCACACAGGATTCATCATCCACCAAGACTTATTAGTCATTTTTTTATGACAAAAACTGATAATGCAAAATCCAAATAGTCCTAAGGATAAGGCTAATGAAGATGATGATGTTCTTCACGTTGAGTTCCAGTTAAGAAGCGCATATACCAATATATAGTTTCTAAGCTTAGCTCCCTAACATTTATACAAATATCGCACAAGGTATATTTCACAAATTGCTACAAGGATTTTATCTTTAAATAATGCAGCTAAAATTATTACACTAACCAATAGCACAGCACTAGTTTTCTAAGCTATATCATCACAATTTCTGTGAAGCGCAGATCATATTTCCAAACTTCCCTCCCGTTCCGAAAAAAGCGGAGAAAACCCTCCTAGACTACTCAACTGGAAGAAAATTCAAGTAGCTTCTAGTTAACAGTCATACTTGTACCTGAGAAGAACTGTAACCAAGTAGGAAAATCAAGCAAAACCTCGTTCAGATATGGGAAAATCAGACTTCGAGGTCGCCAATCAGAATTTGCCCTCATGTTAACCTCACAGATCCATAAAATAAGAAATTCAACCAAAATAGACGAAACTCAGATCCAAAAAATCTAATCTCTATTCCACAAAACAGCAAGAAAATTTCATTTTTTGAAAGTGGTACACAAGGAATCCCTAAAATAAGCAGCGATGTAAGAGATGCCCTAAACCTAAACATCCAAGTCATGTAAATCTCCCAAAAGCTCACCTTTAATCAGAAAAGTCAAAAACAGTGAGCTCAAACCCGCGACTCATCGGCAATCCGTCGAATGCGTTGCAGCTGAATTCTGAACACAGTCAAATCCGATGCTTTCTTCCGTGGTAGTTGGATCCCAATCGGAATCTAATTGATTCCGGGGGATAGAGTTAAGAGAAAAAAAACAAAGATCCACTCTTTACAACCTCCAAGCTCCAAATTCTACTTTTTTTTTACCAAAACTCCATTTTTTTTCCTCTGCTGGTGAGACGATGCTGTTCACGTCCTTATCGTTTTATCCGTTGATACATCATTTCTGGTATATCTGATCTCACTCGCACTGTAACTACTGTATTCAATTTTGCATTCGTATTTAACACTCCAAACGTACCCACATAAGCCTAGGGTGATTGATGGCCGAGCACGATTGGGAGTCTTTCATTCCAAGTTCGAATTTCTTATGCTACGGTCTTGACTCTTCAGTGGGGCAAAGTAAGTGTGGGCCCGATGTCGGCGGGTGGCATCGCTAGGTTCCGTCGAGCGATTAGTTACGTTGTCAAGTGTTTCTTTTGAAGTGGCAGCGGTAGATATCTCGTTCAAAAAAACACTCTAAACATTCTCATTTTATGTTTAATAACCCATTTTTAATATTTACATAATATATCACTTTTCTAGCTCCATTAATCCCCCTAATGAGCACTTTCTTATATAATAGATTGCTTAACCAATATCAAAAGTGGTAGAGAGATGCTTTACCCTAATGAGCTCCATCACAAATTTAATGTTTCATCTATTGCAATGATAGATAGATTTCATGCCGTAGCGAACACTCTTGTGAGTCTCAATGAGGATTTTTGAGAATTAATGAGGATTTTGAGAATTAATAAGGCGGGTCTCAACAAAACTAGAAATGTGTAAAGTGGCAATGGAACCGACAAAGTTCAAGGCATACAAAGTCATAGTTGTAAGTTGTATGTTTGTTGAGGAAAAATTATTCTGTGCGGACACCGGATGACATCCGGAGACCAACCAGAACGCATCATGTTATTTTTTTTTTTTTGCACGATACCAATGTTCGGTATAGCTGTGTACCGGGTGATATGATGTGTTCTGGTTAGTCTCTGAACCGTCCGGGACTCCGGTGTCTGCATAGAATAATTTCTCGTTTGTTGATACTTAATTTTTAAGTTTTATGTGAGAAATAATAAAAGTACATGTAAATCCTCTGTTAATTTTTGCTTATTTGTTGTTATTTTTTATCATATGAGCTTGAATGAAGCATCACAATTTTCCCCTAAATTTATCTTATTTTATTGAAGTCCCAATTCAAATTGTGAATATAAAAGTACTATGTCTAGTTAGGATAGAAAAAATCTCATATCAAGACGCCAAACAAGAACATAAATTTATATAATTTAATCAATTTTATTTATATTTCTAATCACATAAAAATTAATTAATTTCACTAAATTAAAAAAATTATATATTTCATATGAATACCAATAATATATAGGATTTCATTAATAATTTTTTTCTAAATATTTGTAAATAATAATAATAAAGATAAGAGAGAATGACAATTGGGTTATTGATGTGCTACAAGTCAAATAGATTGGGGGTGGCTCAAAAATAGATTTATTAATTATATAGAATATATTAATTTATCTTTAGATTATCTTGAAATCATATAAATTTTATATTCTTTTAAATAAACATTTTAGTCTCCTCTCATTTAAAATAATAATTCCATCAATTAAATTATTGATATCTTTGACCTCACCAATTAAATTAGTCAAATCCCTAAAAGTAGTTGACTAAAGGTAGTAATGTAGAGATAGGTAAAAACAAGGAAAATTACTATAATGCAAAATTTTAGGTTATATATATATATAACCTAAAATTTAAAATTTTGCATGTGCTTATAGTAATTTTCATTAAAATACTAAATAATATCTCAATAAAGAATTATGAGAATACATAATATATTTGTGGGGATTTAAATTTGAAGAAACTTTATAGGTGGTGCAAAGTAATAATATCTTGTTTGAAAATATAAATTTTTTACATACCTTCTTGTTTGTCAATTTTTAAATATCTTTGGACTAAAGTATGTAAATATTTTCTACCAAATCATTATGAAGGAAAGCACTTTTGACATTTTATATGTCATATAGACTTTTTTTTTACATATATTGCTTATATTATTTGTCATATATTGCTTCTTTTTGCTAATAGCCCTTCAGTATGTGACATATTTTATATAATTTGGTTATTGTCTATTATTCTTTTATTTTAAAAATGTATTGGTTTTGTTTTTGGCACTTGAATGAATTATTTACTTATGTGGCTTTCTCAAAATACTCTTTCTATTTGATATGTGTAAACAATACATAATAAAGGGAAAAAGAATAATAGTTAGTTGGCTTATGAGTTTTTTATGATTTATTTCATAGGGATGTTGAGCTAAAACTAATCTTGATTTTCTTATGATATTTTTAGTCTATGATCTAAGTAGGGTGTTTGTTTATTTTAACATGCTCTACAAGATTTTTGTTCTTTTGGTGCTCGACTTGTGTGACTTGTCTTTTGGCATCATGAAGTCTCTTAACTTAAATTTCAATCTTTGGCCGGATAGTTGGCTCAAATTCAAAGTTGCCTTAGTTTATTCTTGTGGGTTCGTAATACTCTATGATTGTTGCATAAACCTTGACCAAGTCAATTTAATTCTATAAGTGTAGAAGACCAGATTTTGACCAAACCTTTGTTAGTCTGATAGTCTTATTTGAACATATGCTAATCTCTTATCCAAAACTTTTGGTAACCATATAGATGATTCAACATTCGATGACCTTCATACAGCTATCCAACACCCTTGATCAACCCAAAGTGGCCTCAATCAAACCCTTAGTCTAATCATGCTCTAAACCATTATAGATTGTCCCTAAGCTAATCCTCTAAGGATGCACTTAGGATCTTCTAGCTAACCTTCACATGTCCATAAGTTATTATCAATTGTAGTTGAACATTATAAACCGCTCCCAATCAATCTTAACTTGTCTTGTTGACCTAAATCAAATTTCAATAATATACTCCTCAAGGTTGCTTGGATTTAGCCAAGCATACCTAGCTAATGGACTAATGACCTACCTCTACACATGATCATGGGAAAAAGTTAGCCTTAGGTCACCCATAAACTTTGATTGATCCCAACATTCCTTGATCAAACTTTAATTTAATCATGCTATGGGCTATTATAGATTTTAAGCATCTAACTAATCCTCACAATACATAAAGTGTTTTCAAACTTATTTGACCATTATACATACCAATTGATTACATTTTATTGACCAACATATACCACTTGACAACCTTAAATTATCTCATTGGCCCAAATCAAATCTCATTTGGCATAATCCTTGTGGTATCGTAGACTTACTTAAGTATGCTTGGATGATAACCTAGCGATCATCTTCCACATCTTCATAGGTAAAACATAGTCGTAGATCACTTTGGGACCCGCCATTGGTTTATTTGACTTAAGTTTGATCAACGTTAAAGGCGTGTTTGGTTGGCTAAAAAAAGAAATGCAGAGTAAAAAAGACTGCAATATAAAAGAAATACTTTTGAGTTATTTGGATGAATGAAAAGTAAATTCAGATGAATGATTTTTTTTTGAAGTAAAATGAATATAGTGCAACGTTTAAAAAAGGTGGTTGGCGGCAAGGGAGGGTGGTGATGGCAATGGCGACTGAGGGTAGGTGGTAGCAGTTGGAGCTTGGTGGCCGACAACCAATGGCTAAAGATGGTGATTGGTGCCCGACTGGCGATTGCGATGATTACTGGAGGGTGGCGACGGTGGCCTCCACGGGCGAGTAGGCGACAGTGGTTGCAGTAGGGTGGCGGCGGTGGCCACCGGCCAGTGTGATGGCCGGCAGTTGTGACCTGAGGTGGGTGGAGGTGATCGGCGGTGGTGGCCTGAGGTGGGTGGAGGTGGCCGCCAGCAATTGTCGGTGGCGATCAAGCGAGCTTACTTGAGGTGTAAAACGTTCTCGTTCAAAACTAAGCGAGTTTGCTTTACCTCTAAAATCAACTAGAATGGTTTTCAATACATTTATTTTGCATTACTTTGAATTCTTTTTTCTTCCAACCAAACACCAAAATTCTTAAAACCTCTGCATTCGAAATACTTCACACCCTAAAGTATTTCAACCAAACAAGCCCTAAGCTTTATCAAATATTGACCCAACCCTTTAGTCAAAACTAATTAAGGTGATCTAATGGCTCCACCACAAGAAATTTAATCCAAGTTCTGAAAGTGTGCGTTCATTGGATAAAATCAAATAACTAAATTGAATCAATCTTATTTGATTGGTCTGGTTTGATTTAATCCAAGTTATTAAGGTATTTGTTTGGTTGTTGGTTGTAAATTTGACTTTATTTGATTTTTTTATTATTGGTTAGATATTTAAGCTTAATTATTTAATTTAAATTACAGATTTAATTAATCTAAATTATTAATTTAAACCCCATATTAACTAGATCAATCCCCTAACTTCTACGGCCGCCATGAAACATGGTAGGAAAAAAATATTAGGCATGTATAAATAATTTAAATTTTTAATGAGATTTATAAAACATAATAATCTAAACAACAAATGAAAAGCTAATGACTTATTCAAAACATTATCATATTGGATTATAACAAAATTTTAATTTAATCTACAAACTAAGCACATTTATCTAAGCACAAAAAATTCATACATTGAATATCAGCCTTAACCTTTATTATATCTTTTATGAACCTATCAAATATCATTAGGTCATCAGTTTTTCCGACCATGTACATCTTCTAGCATATAAACTCAATGTCACAAACACCCATTCAACGCACAACTTTTTAAAATTTTTACGTAGGTAACGAAGTCAGTGGCGATGTGCAACATTTGGAAAAATTTCACAACAACCTCACACCAAACTTGCGTGCCTGTTAGAAACAATGCATAAATTAGGTCGGGTACTAACAACTGAATTAGTATCGCAACTGGCTTAGAAACCACACCCATAAATCAACACATTCTGATTCTACAATTGCAAATGCGAGGGGATACAATCCATTGTTAGTTTCAATTCTCACAGTGGTAAGTAAAGTACCTCGATATTTATCTAACAGGAATGTGTCGTCAAGGCAAAGAATAGGGCAACAGTAGCTCCAATCATTTATCGAAGGCCCAAACGAGAAAAATAATCTCTCATATCTATGAATTTCAGACATTTGTATCTTATAAACGGTTTCGGGCATTAAAACGTCCATGAACAACTATATGGTTTGAAATAATTTGCAAGCTTAAGAGGATTTTCTCCCATCAATTTTTTTACTCCATGGAGCATTTATCAATTCATCTAGCCTTATGAAGCATGAGTTTATTTTAATAATGAAATTTTTTTAATAATTAAGATTTTGCCTTTGCTAATCTTAATTTTATAATAATTCCCATAGTAGAAAATAAGCAAAGTGATGATTAAATATCAACTTCATGTCATATTTTATTTAAATATAATTGAAGGACAGTTTGGTTTAATAAAAAATGAGCGTAAAATATCTCAAAATGTAAGAATTTTTAAAATCTTGATATTTAATTTGATAAGAAAAAATATATGCAAAATTAAATTTTGATGAATTTTAAATTTACTATATTGTACATTTTTATGTATTTTAAACTAATATGTTTACGATCAAACTCTAAAATATGGTCCACGTTGGCTCCTCTGTTGCCTTCTACTGTCAGTCGCCACTCATAATTAACGTCCGCCAAGTGCCACTCGAAATCGAATGCCCACCTTATTAATTATTCTTAATTAAATCTTGATTAACTAGGTCTTATTGATTAAAAAACATTATGCATGAATTTTATTTGTGTGCATGATTTTGATTTTGTCAATTAATATGAATTAATTTTTGCCATTGCATCATCACATCATCAAGCATATATGAAGTTCACATTTGTTCACATCTAATTTTTTTTTTTCTTTCTTAAACTTTATTTCAATGTAGAAATGTAGGGGAGAAAATAAGATTTTAATATTATTTGAATTAAGAATTTTAATATTATTTGAATGTATTGGATAAATGATTAAGGCTTCATCTGAGTCAGCTTTCTTATTACATTGTTTTTGAGACCACAACAATAAATTCTATTTGACCATTGATTTTTTGAAAAATTGTACTATGAAGCTACTTTTTATAACAACTTTAAAAAGTTACAACAAAATAGTGAGAATGTCATCGCAAGCTAGCTAAGTCTAAGATTTTGTTTGGGACGACTTTCATTCTGTTTTTTGAAGCAGCTTTCTAGTACAAAAATTTTTAATTTTGTACTAAAAAGCTGCTTCAAGAAGTAGAAAGAAAGTCGTCTCAAACGAAGCCTAAGACTTCATTTGAGACAGCTTTTAACCACTATTTATTTACAACTTAAAAAAAATTATTACTAGAAAATTATTGTAGAAAGTTGTAAGAAAACTATCCCAACAAAACCTAAGGGTCTGCCGTTGGACAATAGAAAGATCCCACAATGGAAGCCATTCATAATGACAAGAGCAAAATCACTCAGCCCGTTTAGAGCATCTGCACATTTTTATAAAAAATAATTATAAAATTAGAGTAAAAATATTTTTTTACAAATTAATGTGAAAATTATAAATAAATAAATATTTTTTTATAATTTGGCTAATTTTTTATAGCTGTCATATATAAGGTTCTATTAATTTTTCATATAGCAATTATAATTTATTTGATTACGTCAAATCACTTTTTTGACGTGTACTGATGTTGTATACCATGTGACGTGTCGCAATTTATGTGATTCGTCTCCAGACTGTTCGGCGCCACATATAATAATTTCACCTATTTAAGGCTGCTTTTTGGTTATTTTAAGTTTCATATAATAATTATAAATTTATTTTGCTACTATTTTCTTAATGTTTTCTTACTTTTTTTTATGGTGAAAGATATTTTCTACCGCCATAATAGTAAAGTTAATTTTTCAATAACAATTTCATAATTAACTTATGAAACGTTGCAGCTATCCGAGTTCTAAGTTACTCTTTCTATAGCAACTTTACAAATAACTTTATAAAATAAACATAGTACTGTGACAGACATGGTTGTTAAAAACAACTTCCTACAAAAAAAAAATTTAGAATGAAACAAAAAACCAACAAGAAAGCTTTAGTAAAACAATGAAAAAGCCATGCAAAATAGATTCCAAATATATTTTTAGCAATAAATTGCGCATAATTATTAATTGCTTATAAGATAATTTTGTAAATTTTATTATATATATTCATGGGCGGATCCCCCTTAAGCCGGGGGGCAATTGTCCCCCTAAAAAAATTTTAATTTTTTAATTATATAATTTTTTAGGTAATTTATCCATTTATATTTGTTTTTTAGTCTTTATTACAAGGATTTTTAGGCAATTGTCCTCTTAAAAGTTTTAAAATATTATGATATTTAGGCAATTGTCCCCTAACATAATTAAACAAATTGTGTAGAGGTGTTATTGTTAGGAAACGATGAACCAAACACAAAGAGAAATAATAAAAGAGAATTCATCATTTTATTTATTAATTTGAATTCCAAAAATATCCTTATAACCAAAATTTATTTTAAGGGCGTTGCCCACAGAAACCCCTGCAAGGGCGCTACCCTTTGACCACGCGACCTGATTGGGCAGGTTGAACCCCGCCAAGAGGTGCTGTCACTTTGGACCCCCGATATATTGCGAAGCGTATGGCGATCAAGGATATGAAAATATAGGGGTCGAGCCACACTTCGACATATATTTTGTAGAAATTAAATGATTAATCATCTTTAGCGATTATTTTCTTTTTGTCTCTATTGTTTAGTCGTTATTGACCCATTTTTTGTAAGGAAAGGTTGAACCAAATTCGAGGCAACACCAACAGTTACTTATAAATTTGTCCCTCCTGAAAATTAAAGCTCGGTCCACCCTTATATAAATTTTTAAAGAAATATTTAAATTGTCAATAGGCCAAATAATACGGTCAAAGAATTCCTTAATAGTTTTTTTATGCTGTCTTATTAATTGTTTAGACGACCGTGTCTCGAGAAACTTTTGAACCGAGTTGTCCTGCTATTTTTTTTTTCCTCCAGATAAATATTTAAAATAAATTTTTACTTAAAGATAAACATGTTGAAAAATTTTTATTTAAAAATTATCGAAATTTTTATGTTTTTTTAATTGTGATTAAATTAGTGGTTATCATTATCAACTTCAAGAACTTTATAATATAAAAAGATCGAAAACTCTTTACAGAGAACATTGTTAATTTTATATATAAAAAAAAATCAAAAACTTCAAATTTAAATTTTAATAGTGAGAAAAAAGAATTTTTTTGGGAATGACTTTAGTTTTAAATAAAAATGATTATAAAATTATTATGAGAAAAAAGAATTTTTTTTAAAAATTGTTGTAAAAAATAGCTCGCTAAAATAATAAATTAATAGTTAAATATAAACTATAATTATGAACTAAAAAATAAACCAGCAAAAATATTTTTGGGAACCCACCGATGCTTAGTTTGGTTGGTAGGCAAGTACAGTTGAGAACCCCCAACTCGTGCTCAATTCCCCTCGAGCGGCACCGCATCTTAATTAGTAGGGCTCAATCAAGTGCAGGCCATAAGGTTTCTGGGATGGGTGCCTCTTCTAGATCAGCCCATGATTAGTCACGCCTTCAAGCGCCATTTAGGTGATGATAGCAGGCGAATTCCCCGTTACCAAAAAAAAAAAAAGTTTTTGGAAATGAAATCTCAAATATGCTTCCATGAATTTAACGTTAGATATTAATTCGATATACATTACTTTCATCATTAAATACTCCAACATAAACACTTATCTCTCTCTCCCTCTCTTCATTATTAAATAATAATTCCTCTCTTCAATCTCATTGATTGTATCTCCCTCCCTCGCCCTATAAATGCAGGTTCCACTCTCTTCTTCAACCAAACCAGAATCATGGAAGACAAGAAAGCTGGCGCAATAGTGAAAGCAGGCGAGGAAGGGATGAAGCTCGCCCTTTCAGTCATGGAAGAATTCGACCTCCCGCTTGGCCTTCTCCCCCTCTCCGATGTCATCGAAGTAGGCTTCGTACGCGAAACTGGCTATATCTGGCTAACACAGAAGAACAAAATAGAGCACAATTTCAAACTGGCGAGCAAACTGGTAAGCTATGACAGAGAGATTACTAGCTATGTAGAGCCCAAGCGTGTTCGGAAGCTCAAAGGGGTTAAGGCTAAGGAGCTTCTTCTATGGCCTCCTGTTAACGAGATCGCAGTGGACGATCCTCCAACGGGCAAAATTCACTTCAAGAGTCTTGCTGGTATTACTAAGACCTTTCCTGCCGAAGCCTTCGCGGCCGGCCAGTAGTTTTATCTGTTGAAGATATTGTTTCTGCAGCTTCTCTTGGACTCTGGGTTGGTTCGTGATAATGAAGTCATTTTAGGGTTTTTAGGATCTGTTGTACTGTGCAAGGTGAAATAAATTGGAGAATCCTAGCTAATATGTCTGATTTGAATGCTCAGCATGTCAAAAAAAAAATTCAAAAAAAATAAAATAAAATATGGAGAAGGAAGATTACATGGAAAATCAGAACATGTAAAAGTTTGGGATTGCCTTAATATTAAAGAAATTCAATAAATTTTTTTTATTTAAGTTTTATTTGAGATTGATACATGGTCAAAAAATTATCTTGATTGGGCACGATTCTCGAGGCAAAAACTAGTTGGAAACTTCAAAAATTAATTTTGGGAGCACCCGAACTCTGATTTCAGCGAGCTTAGAGTCAAATTGAGCGTCTCGGAAATACGAACCCGACGACACCAAGATCAACCCAATCCGAGCCCAAATGAGTCCAAATCAAGGGCTCAAAGTGCTGTTGGAAGGTTCAAACCGCAATTTGAGTTACCAAACGGTCTCCGATTTTGACGAGCCTATACTCGAATCGAACGGCTCGACAAGAAGAATCCAACGAGCCCAAGATCGCCAAATTCCGACATCATTAAGGCCTCCAAATGTCCAACAAACGGTGCACGATCGAAGGGTTCACTATCGGCCGTCCATTCAAACCACTCCCTATTTGCCCTTGATCTCACACCTATTTACGGGCCATGCCACTCCAGAAAATCTATAAATAGAGCCCTCATTCTTCACAAGAGAGGATCCAAGCAAGAGAGAGAGGAAGAGAAGAGAAGGAAAAAGAGAAGGAAGAAGTTCCTCCTCGACAGCCGCTGGACCACCGTAGGACCACCACCAGACCACCACAGGAGCACCGTCGGACCACCGCAGGAACCTCGCCGGACCACCACCGGAGTTTCATCGCACCAACACTTTAAGGCCCGACATTCAGACCCGACGTCCTGCTTAAGGCCCGACATTCAGATCCGACGTCCTGTTGAAAATCAGACGTTCTGCTCAAAGCCAGACGTCCTGCTCAAAACATGATTATCAACACCCGAACTTCCAAGTGTTCAGGCATAACACCCGACTTTTATCAAACAGTTACTGATTGTAAATCTAATCACCCTGTGAGGGGATTCAGTTCTTTGTAACCGACTTAAATTCTAGTGGATTTATTTCAACTGGACTAGGCCCCGTGGTTTTTTCCCTTTCTAAGGGTTTTCCACGTAAAAATTTTTGATTTCTCTGTGTGTGAGCTAGTTATCCGTACAACGCTAAGACGTATAATTAAATCTCTATCACCGCGTATTTTCTAGCCCGCAACAGAGATATTTTTATTATAAATTTTTAACATAATTGTTTAGTACAAAAATTTTTAAAAAAATAAAACAAAAAAAAAAATTGCTTTTGAAAATAGGGAAAAAATTCTTCCAAAAGAAGTCTTAGATAAGGAAATTTAAGTTTAATTATTTGTGTTTAATTTTAAAAGCTCCATTCATAATCTCTATCAAAAATAGAAATTTAAAGACAAATTTAGAATAGCAATGAAAAACTTTATTTTTTAAACACACTCTATTTTTTAAATAGCTTTTCTTAACACTAAAGCAGCTAAAAAACTGATCCAAACAAAACCTTAGCACCAGTTTTGAAAAGATGGATGTAAAATTGATGTGAGAAAAATAATTTTTAAAAACTGTTCAAAAAATAGCTTCTTAATATAGAGTTTTATTGAAAGTAACAAGAAAATAATAATAAATTAGAATTATGATTTATTTTTATTTTTATTTGGCGTTTGACTGTCTTATACTCTTATGCATAATTTAACATACTTTTGTATTTTAATAAAGGTATGTATTTTAACCTAAAGCATACCTTTATTTTCGGTGATTTTATATTTGGTGAATTTACCTTCCCCTAAATCGATAAAAATATATTTTCTCTTAATTTATCAAATTTTCATTGTGTAACATTTTATACATGATATATACAATTCTTAGGAGCATTTTAAAATAGTTATAATTTTTTGAAATTAACTGATAATACATAGATTATTTTGCTTTTCACCCATTAAAAATAGATTTACTACTACATATTATTACATTTTATACATGATATTGTGTTAATAAAATAAGCGATACAATTGATATATGATAAATATAATATTTATATGTAAGTAAGTAAGGCTCGCTATTAACATTATAATTAATACTTGTGGACTCTTAAAATAATGATCTATTGTACAACAGGGTGAGTTGATAGACTTTCCTTAAAATAAATATTTGTGGTGTAATCATGGATGTTAGTATGTAATTGATTGACTTAATTACATGAACGGATAGAGAAAGACAACTCTTCATTAACTTATTGAAAGTTAAGCGTTAAAGTAAATGATTAATTGAAAGAAAGACATAATTGAAGGGCTGATGGATTGATAAGACTAATGGATGGTAGATTGAAAGATTAAAATATCACATTAAAGCTGTATACCCTGCATTGCTAGCTTTTCATAATCATGTTCACGTTTACATTTATATGATAGCATATTAATTGATTGATATATAGTTTTTTTTTTTTTTTTTTTTTTTTTTTTTTTTTTTTTTGGAAAAATAAGGGCCAAGTCCAATTTTCATTACCAATAGAACTAGTGCGCATGTGTAAAATTGAAGAAAAAGAAAAAGCAAAATAGTGGAGCATATCCACATAAAAAGGAAAACTCACCAAGAAGGTGCAAAAAGATTACACATGTCAAAAGTGATCTAAGAAAAAGAGACTAGCTAAGAACAAAGCAAAAAAGGACATCAGCACAAAAACCAGGGCTCAGCAGAAGTAATGAATTGCACCCTATAAGGCCAGCCTGGCCCCCGTTTGAGAGATTTGCCATCAATAAGTGAATAAGTTGCATAATGCCACCATCCTGAGGGAAAAATAGTATGCAATCCATACATTATTGCCCCCAAATTTAGAACACCAATCCAACTCGATAATCGCAAGCAGCAGGAGAAACCAATCAGACTAGAGACATATCCAGAGTTTTAGGAAACATAGTAGCCAACCCAATTCCAGAAAGCTAAAAGAGAGGTCCAACGCAGCAGCAGAAGGAATTTTAATCCTTCACAAAAGTCCCAATTGATCCGTAGAGGCATGACACTTAAATGGTTCACAAAAGTCAGAACAACAGGCATAAAAAATTCAGCCCAAAGCATAGTGCAATCTCCTAAAAACATCTCCATTTTTTCATCTGAATAATTTTAAAGTAACTGGTTTTATGATAATCATCCGAATAGAAGTAGAGCTTTTATAATCATTGCCAAATATCCTCCCGTTTCTCTCCCTCCAAAGGAAATTAATAAACAGAGCACCAAAGAAATAACAGGAAAAAATACTTACTACCATAATTGGACTTATCCCCTTCAGAAATAAAATTCATAATTTGACCAAGATTAGACCTAAGAAGAAAATTTTGTAAGCTTGGAATAAGAGCATAAATAATGGAGAATGTGTAATCACACTCAAAGAATATGTGATTAACAGTCTCGGGCTTTGAATTGCACAAGCAACAAGTGGAATCAACAATAATATTTCTCTTAATAAGTGCATTCGCTGTTTTTAGCCCTCCAACAAAGCATATATAGCCAACCAATAGTAGAAAATCTAAGAGAATGGTGCTTATGCCAAACCGACTTATGCCAAAAGACCATATTCTTATTCTTATAAAAGTCGTGCATGAAGGCTTTGAAAGAGCCCTCACTGCCTGGATGCCAAATCAAGCAAGGAGCGTCCGTATCTGAAATAATGGGGATTTGAAGAATGTTATTCTTAACAACAACATGGCAAGAGGGAGGTAAATTCTAACCATTAGAATCCATTGGATCAGTAAGAAAAGCATCAGAATGCAAAGGATTGAGAATAAATTCGTAATGAGTAAGCTCAGTAATGCATAAACCTTTGCACCAATGATCCCATCTAAGGGAAATGGGACAGCTAGCCTTCACATTAAAACAAAAATTACTCTTAGCTTTAATAGCATGGCATAACATTTTGATATATGACTGATGAAATTAACATTTAGATTGATATATCATGATATAACATATGACATACACATTTATAAGCATTAATAGACATACTGATAAACTATTGATATATTGATAGAGCATATTTATAGACGCACAAATAAGCATATATTGATGTATACATGCTATATTATTGATAGAAAATATATGATATAATCATTAACATAAATATAATTGATACATAATCAACACATATTTTATTATGTGGTATCTCACATTGCTTTATATACTTTTATTTATTTATTCATTTACATGTTGATAGATAATCAACGTACACTAGTGTTTCTAGGTCTCAAGTTCTGGATGAGAAAAGTGGAGTGTTGTGCACATATAGTCGACAGCTAGCGTAAAACTTATCAAATAATCATGATATGAATTAGTCGACTCCACGTAGTGGGATAAAGTCATGATAATGTTGTTGTTGTTGTTGTTATTGATAGATTCCTACGAGTTTTGAGATGCTTTTTTTTCATTGATCATATTGATTTCTATTGTTATGTTAAAATTGATTGTTAAGTTCATATCGATGACTATTGATTTTATATTGATCGAGATCAACATTCATATTGATATTATTGTATTATTTAAAATTTTGGTAGTTTTAATTGTTGATGGGCTTTATAAGCTCATTATGTGATTTTGATTTATTTTAGGTTTAGGAAGGAGATCAACTAAGTGAGATTGATCATAGTCAGATTTACAGGTTTATATAGTTTATTATTTTGTATTTTATGCTATTTTTTGTAGCTAGAAGAGGTATGATAGATGTATGTTATAGATTGAACTTCTGATTATTGCATTTGAATTTTGATTTGTGATGTATATTGATGAATGACATGAAAAATATAAAAGCTTTCGTTATTTTAGATTAATATAAAATTAAATTAGAGACTTTCAATTCATAGATTAATTAAAATAAAAAAAGTAATTCTTTCTATTTAAATCTTAGGGGGTCACATGTGGCAAGTTGTCCACCCAAAAAGAATGTTGTTTTTGTCAGCAT